ACATTACAGTGCTATAGAAAGTATGCAGTCCTTTAGTCCTTCTGGACCATTACCTTGATTAAAACCTGAAACCCCTCAAGGATATTTCCGTTTTGTTAAATGGATAGCCACACTATCTATCCTCGTAAGCGTTCTATTAAACTTAGGCCTATGTCCTTAAACCCACGTGGTGACCCCAAATGCAACCAACTCTTCCTAGCTGGCTGCTGTGCAGGGACCCCTAGATAATGCAATGAAATGTCACTTTGCATTAGCTCAAGATGCCTCTATGAATAGGTGAACTACATGCTGGATATCCCATTTCTAAATGTTTGTGTAGGTCGTATTTACCTTAAAGGGCTACTCAAACATCCATGATCACTTATGCCTATAGTAATGGTTATGGAGGAAGGAATCAATATATTCAGTGTTTCTGATAGCATTTAGGGCGGTAGGAGAAGGGATTTAGAATAATGGCCAATAGAGCATTATTTGCTTTTAAGAAACAAAAGTTAGAAGGGTTGGAGTAATCCTTTAATGAAAATGACTGATTCCTGTCTCTCAACTTATTTTTCGGACCTACTAATCTTTGTAGTCTGCCCTGACCTCTGCTGTCGTACTGATTCTGGCTTGGGAGTGGTCATTCGCAAGAACGTGATGTCCTTCTGCGATTGGGTTCCAGCTATGCAAACAAAGGGTCCAAAACTAACAGAGATAAAGAGTGGCCATGACATTTCTTTTATTCTTTATTTAAATATATTAATATCAGAACCCTCATTGCAATGTTCTTACATTCATATCAATGTCTTCATTACTACAAGAGATTAAGGATCAAAGATTAATTCTACATTAAGTAACTTCCAGCCAAGGATTATATTTTTAAATGTCATACCAATTACAATGATAACTAGAAGCTTTTATTGAGATGACCAAAATTTTTGCTTCCAATTTAGTTTGCTGCTATATTCCAAAAAAGAAAAGCAAATCTGGCAGTGTTTTTCTGTTCCATAGCACAGGCAGAAAATGTATTATACAACACACATTAAACCAGTTGATGTACATGGTAATGTAAAAGCAAAATGTTATCACTGTAACCTCTGTATGGCCAGACTGTTTTTTTTATATATTATTTTTTTATAAATCTATGTTTATTCAGTGAGTAATTATTTTATAGGATACAACAAAGAGATCAATGTAAGACTTGCAGGTCTCCAACACAAGAGCAGTTTAATAGAGTACATAATGCCAATTATTAAACAGAGATTGCAAAATGGAATACAGTTTTAAAAATAATACGAATATATTGATGAGCTCCCATGCAGTGGTTAATATTTTAAAGAAACCATGTTAAATATCCCTGCCTTCCTATCTATGCATAACCCCAAAGGATACCAGAGCATTGGAATTCGATGTATGGAGAATACTGCCCTGTTCAACTCTGTGTGTATGTAAAAGGAAATCAACTTTTAAAAAAGACTGGAGCGGGAACACCAATTTACCGCAATTAATTCCCAAGAATCATAAGTCCTCTTTCCAAATTCAACACCTAAATGATTCAGTAAAGGAGCCCATCTCATCAATATGTCTTGGAGCAGTTAAAGTCGAAAAAGAGAAAAACAGAGTGCAAAAGAAAAGTGAACCCCAGGTAGGCGCCCTCTTTACCCATCTTGTTATCCAATTCTCCTGAACACATGTCCCGTGCCTTGAAAACCACCTACCTGCCCCGCCATAAATGCAAACCAGGGTTGCCAGCATTCTACATGCTTGGCACTTATACTAACAGTAGCAGCATGTATTTCCTAAACTCTCCATAACCAGTGTTCTTTTGTGGGGCATCAGTCATTCTTCAAAGGGCAGGGATAAAGGCCTTAGCCGCATTAAGCAAATGTCGCAAAATGGATTAACAATATGTGGATATAGACTTAGCAGTCTTATGTAGCAGGGCCAGTTCAGTACTCCAAGAGACTGAATCTCCAAATATATCAGTCACTTCTTGTTTTACCATAGCCCAAAAGGAGACTATTTTAGGGCATTCTCACCATATATCCAGCACTGTTCCCCGTCCTTCCTGATACCTCCAACAAGTGGACAAAACTGCATGGAATATTATTTGAAATAGGACTGGTGTCCTCTACCACAATGAAGGGAGTTTATAATTTACTTCTTGATAGTAGGAGCTGATATAGCTTTTATTTCGCCACAGTAGGACCAGCTGAAAATGTTTTATCCAACTGACCTTCCCAATTCTGAAAAGTGTTTTTCTCAAACCTATCCCATACCAGCAGATGTTGGTAAAGCATCAAGACCATTTTGCCAAGACCATTTTGCCCAGCTCGGTGCTCCCCACGCAAAGGCCCTCGAACCAAGTGAGATCACTATGTAGCTTTTCTTTATGGGGTAATGTGTTTTAATAATGCTTTAATTGAGCATAGCAAAAAGAAGTCAAGGGAGTTTGCACCCAGTAAGGCATCTAGTAAGGTATGCAGCTCTCATAGCCCTCCCTCGAGGAATGTTTCAGGATGAAGTCCTCTACGCTAAAGATTGGTCATTAGTGGAAACCCCCACCTAGCTTACTATGATATGTCATGGGCAACAGGGGAGTAGGTGTCGGCGAGATCTGTGGCAACTTGTGTATTGTCCTTCACATTCTAAGCGTAAGCGAAATTGGTGCCATCCTATCTTTGTGTTCCAGGATCTCCAATCCTCCCAGCCACACATCCTAAATGTAATGAGATGTCCACCAACTGTTTCTATGGAGACATTAAATGCCAATCCAAGACCATATGCAGAACCATAGCCTGATGTCTAGTTAAGCAAAGCAACTCATGTCTAGTTAAGCAAAGCAACTCAGGTCGCAACTGTGAGCACACTCCTCTCTGTATATAACTAGTCACTACCATCTTCAGTGGAGAGAAGAATGCTCCTGGCAAAGAAAGTAGTATAGTTTGAAAAAGATACAGTAGTCTCAGAAGAATATAAATTTTTATTACTGCTACAGGCCCATGCCATGAGATGTGTGGCTTATGACCTTCGTTTAAGATCATCCAATAATATCTTCAGTAGGGATAAGTGGTTCTGTAGATATAGCTCACTAGGGTCCTTAGTCACCCAAATCCCAAGATACATCATCTTCCCAAAACACCAGTGGAACAGAAAGTGTGATACACGGGCTGCATATTCCTTCACAGAGAAAGTGAAATTCACCACCACGCAACAATCCATATCTCTTGAATTCTGATAATAAACAAGGTAAATAAACTTTGAATCTGTAGATTGGCAGTGAGAGCTCCATTAACCTGCACTTTACTGCAAGATTTACTATAAAGGGCCCTAATCCATGCCAACAATGTATCTCATACCTCATGCTCTTCAGCATAGCCAGCATAAATGACCAGTTGACACAGTTGAACGCCTTCTCGGCGTCAGTGGATAACAAGAACATCTGTTTGTTCCTCTTCCTGACTTGATGTTGTAAAGAGAAAAGCCTCAGAGTGCTATGACTGGCTCCAGGCCCAGGATTAACCCCATCTTGTCTGGATGAACAAGGGCAGTAAAAATAGTTTGTAATCTAGCTGCAAGAGCTTTTTTGTAAAACGTTTTACATCTATGTTAAGCAACGAGATTGGGCGATAACTGCCCCATATCTCAGGGTTCTGTAAGCGTAGCAGCTAATGATTCTGGTCCAAACTCCCTGATTGCCCTGACCGAATTCAACACCTTTGTAAGTTTAGGGACTAGTGTAGAAGAAAATTTCTTATAGTATCAGGTGGAGAACTCATCAGTGCATGAAGCTTTGCCAACTTTAGTCTCCTTGATAGCTGCAAAAAGTTCATCCTCAGTGATCGGGCAATCTAATGTCTCTGCTGGTTCTGGATTCACCGATATTTTCACATGGTTGCTTAAACAACTTTCAATCAGGACATTCCTGTCCACCTCCAGCATATTAGCAGTGGTCACCAGTATGTTGTACAGTGATTGGTTGTACATCCGAAATTTGATGGCTCAGTCAGAAGGGGTTATGTCACTTAAATCTATTCCCCTGGGTGAGCGGTTGCATAGCTCGTAGCATACATGATAGAACTGTTCCCCCTTTATTGTCTTGGGTATAAAAGAAACCATGAGAATGCTGTAGAGATCTACAGTGAGGAGCCCTGTTAACTGTTGCCTGCCCTCCAGTAGCTCTCTATAAACCTCTTCCATCTGTGATTATTTATGTTGTGACACCAATCGAGCAATTGAGCCAATAATGATTATTCACTATTGAACTATGAAACCCACCCATCCATTTGGAAAACCTACTAGTGTATTATACATTGAAAGATAAAGGGACATATGAGGCAGTTGCACAAAGTAAAATTCTAGAAAATACAACCACTATTTTAGAAATCTTCAGGGTCTTTGATGTAAATCTTTTCTTGCAACTTTGTTTCCCACCAAAACAAGTGACAATATGTCTTTTAAGAAAAAAAACGAATTTTGTTAAGGAAAACTATATTGTATCTCCCTCATTAATACTTACAGTCTCAGGTCTGCAGTGCACATGGCTTATTAATTATCCTTTATTAGTAGCTGGTTGGCAGGTAGCCAGGAAACATTGCTGTATATGTGCTTCTGAACATGTCTTAAGCAAAATCCAATTCTATGTATAGACCTTACACATGCTTACTCTGTTCCCAGAAAACTTTTGTTGATGATTGGTGAAGCTTAGAAAGCCGCTGAGGTTTCATGCTCAGTAGTTATTTTATTCAGGCTCCTTCTCCCATCCATTTTAGCATCTGCCACACCAATTACCTTACAAACTAATATACTGTACCCATCTATTCTTCCATTCCTAATTGAACATGTGGATACATGACAGGTACATGTGTTGGAAGCAAGGCATAAAGTATAATTGGACCCATTAAAGGAGACACTCAAGGAATGGTTAACTTCTCCATTAATGAAGATGTTATTTTGGCACTGCATTTCCAAACTGTTATTACAGTGAAAAGGCCGGGGCAGAGCCAACACACACACCCTGAATGGACTCCATTTATTACAGCTCCTCACCAAACTTGGCCAAATATCTCCTTCCTGAATTACCATCCACAGTCAAAATACCAGACATTGTTACCTGGACATCAAGCCGCAGCGATTTATGCCTTTCCAGCACACACAGCGGCAAGCCAAGTCTAAGCGCAGAACTGGAGCCTACTACACCCCAAAGCCATGATTTTGAGGCACTCCTCGGCAGCTTCCTGGGGGCATGTAGTCCAACTGACTCAAGCCAATACACACCAGCACCGCAGCCTCTTACCCCGGCAATGAGGCGACGGACGCAAAAGCCTGACAGAGATATCAGAACAATGCTCCATAGACCTAGCACATCAAAGTTTGGAGGCTCAACTTTAATCAGCAGAGACTACCCCTGCAGGGGAGAACAAAGACCAGAAGGCCTGGCCCGTCTGAGCAAAATCTGATCCTGCATCAAACAGATAGCTCTGCTCCAACAACAAAGGGAGAGCTAAAAATCCTCCTGTCTGACCTACACAAAATGATGGCGGCAGACCTGGCACTCATAAGAAAAGAGATTCAGGAAAGTACAGACCACATCAAGGTCTCAGAAGGGAACATAAAGGAAATACAGACCACAGTGAACAGCCTAAGTGGCTCAGTACAACAAGTCCATGCTCACCAACACGCCTTATCCCTGAGACTGACATCCATCGAAGACCAACAACGCTGCAACAACCTAAAGATCCGTGGAATACTGGCTGCAATTGTGGCTGAAGGGCTACCTTACTACATTCAGAGGTTACTGGCCTCCATTTTACCACTTGCGGTGGCCAGAAAGATCACTCTTGAGGGTATCTACGGACTTACTAACACGACCAGACCCTCTACAACACGGACGTTATTGTGCGCTGCACCTCAACTGCAGACAAGATCACTATCATGACAGCCTTACCAAGTAAAACTCAATTTTCCTTTGAAGACTCCCACCTACGCTTCTTTCAAGCTCTTACCAGTGGCGCAGATCCATGGGGCCTATCACCACTCACCTACGCTCTGCTGGTGTGCCTTATCGGTGGGGGACCCCCAGCTCCCTGGTTGTAAGCCGCAATGGAACTAACCACACACGCCGCTCACTTGCCGACTCACGCGCCTCCTATGAGGCTCTAGGACTGCTGATGCCACGAGGCTACACAACGACAGTTACCTGACTATTTTGGACATGCCTTCCATTCCTGCCAAAGCAGGGGGCACATGAACCGAGAACCGAGCAGTGGTCCATATTTATTCCAAAGTGTACCTGTTTTTATTTTGAGTTTACCCTTTACCAATGTTATTTTTGATTGTCACTGTGTTACAGGGTTAGGCTGAGCCTTGCCACAGAGAGGCCTAGGAGATAGAAAAAAACTAACGCTAATCTAATTGGAGAGATGTACTCCCCCCTCCCATGACCCTCTAGGTTAGGGGTAATATCAACAAATGCATAGCTGGCTACTAGTTGCCTTCACCTCAAATATATTGTTTGCTATTAGCATGGCACTAACAATATCATCCCCTATTATACAGCCGTAGCCAGCTGTGCATGTAGCATTTCACATATGAGTACACCTGATAGTTTATCTAATATTATGTGACGTTCTTATTTTACTTCCATTGTTTGACACCTCTCACATGTAACTCCCATCCTGGAGTGTCACTGAACCACACAGACTTAAACCTATAATTCCCCCTTCCGAGTTATTTAGGGCACATATTGCTTGTTGTTATATAAAAGTTAAAAGTTAATGCATGTACACTGTCATATGATACCATCACTAACCATGCCTTCTAATGACGACTACTCATAATGTTTAATATATGCATAAAAAAAAAAAAAAAAATTATTAAAATTAAAAAAATGGGAAAAGGCCACATGACCCACTGCTTTATTGCAATGTGGAATGGAGAGTATAGTACTAGAATAAGGCTGTAGCTCAAAGGGACTTTGGATGGAGGAAATGGGAATTTTGCTTTGGTAGTGGGGGAGCATATTGAGTACACACTGCACACCAAGGAATTCAAATCTAGACAGAATGCAAGAGTAATTTTATAATGTAAAGTATGCTGACTCTTCTTGATAAATGAAATGCCTCCACTTATTTTTTTCTCTGTCTTTTCTGATGCATAACTATCTCTGATTGCAAACAAAGAGTCTTGAATTTTGTGGTGTAAGCATGACAAAAAGATTTTTATTTTATTTTATGAAGCATGCTCCAGATGTTACATGGACTGGTGACAGACCTTTTTTAAAGTGAAGTTTGCTATTGTGTGTACTTGAAGGAGGGGGGTTTCAATTCTATATCAGATCAAGAGCATGCAGTAAAACCAATATGAATGTTGTTATTTGCTTGTGTTTGGGATAGTAGAAGAGTGATCTTTGGTTCTTGGATACACTGGGGGTTGTATGTCAGAATTCTCCACCAACAATTGAGGGCTAATGCACATTTAAGGAGAAGGCCAGGTTGGACGGGTAAATTATTGTCTCGAAGAATAGTCGATTTATTTGGAAGTAGAGCAGATTTTCTTAGGGAATACATGAATAATGCAAGCCAAATTAGAGAGATTATTTTAGGAGCTATAAAAATGGGGACACGGTTAAAAGTGACTGTGAATATTGATTTAGAGATTCGGAATAGATAAAATAATTTTTATGGAGAAACAGATTGTATATTAGGTACACTAGCAATGAGCACTTGTGTATGGGCATATACCCGTGAACCCAACCGCTGATCCCCAACCACTTTGCTTGCCTGAAATAATCAAATCACAGACTTACTTGGTGAAAATAGGCCACGGCTTTATTAAATATATAAATATGTATAAATCTTTAAACTTCAACTTTATAACATAAATAGAGTTGAGTGAACCTGGACAGTAAAGTTTGGGTTCGTACCGAACATCAGGTTTTTTGGACCCTGGACCCGAACATGGACATATCACTGTATGTTCGGGTTGGCGTTCGGCGATTTAATGGCGCATTTTCAAAGGCGGCAGGGCAACCAATCAACAAGCGTTTGACTCTCGTTTCCTTAGAAGCCATCACAGCCATGCCTACTAATGGCATGGCTGTGATTGGCCTGTGCAGCATGTGACCCAGCCTCTATATATAAGCTGGAGTCACGTAGCGCCTCACGTCACATAAGCTTTTATTAGTGTAGGGAGAGGATGCTGCCTCTTTCAGGGACAGATTAGGAAAGAATTCTGCAAACTAGTACCTTAGTGGGGTGCACTTCATATCTGAGAGTCAAATAGAAGGGTCAAATACTGCGGTTACATCGGAGTTTTAAAAAGTAAATATTTTTTTGGTGCTAAATAGTACATTTGGAGTGTGCACTTCATATCTGAAAGTCAAATAGAAGCGTCAAATACTGCTGTCACATTGGAGTTTTAAAACGTAAAAAATTTTGGGTGCTAAAAAGTACATTAGTGGGGTGTACTTCCTATCTGAGAGTCAAATAAAAGCGTCAAATACTGCTGTCACATTGCAATTTTAAAACTTAAATTTTTGGGTGCTAAAAAGTACATTAGTGGGGTGCACTTCATATCTGAGAGTCAAATAGAAGCGTCAAATACTGCGGTTACAGCGCAATTGTAAACATTCTTATTTTCTGGGTGCTAATCTGCTAAATAGTAAATTTGGGCCCTGCACTTCATATCTGAGAGTCAAATAGAAGAGTCAAATAGAAGTGTCAAATACTGCAGTTACAGCGCAGTTGTAAAAAATTTAATTGTTTTGGTGCTAAACTGCTAAATAGTAAATTTAGGGCGTGCTCTTCATATCTGAGAGTCAAATAAAAGCGTCAAATACAAAGCTGGTGCAGGGGCTAATAACTAGTAATAGTTGATCAATATAATTATACAGGACAGGAGAATAAGAGGGAATCTTGTAGACTGACTGGGATCATGAAAAGATGCATAGCTTACTGGATAAGAAAATAAGAAATGTTAATGTTAGAAATGTCCATTGGAGAGAAGAGTGTATTTTTCCAAAATCAGTGAATTAGCCATACAATTATTGTTCTTTCCAACTCCTAAAGGACCACTCTAGGCACCCAGACCACTTCAGCTTAATGAAGTGGTCTGGGTGCCAGGTCCTTCTAGGGTTAACCCATTTTTTCATAATTATAGCAGCTTCAGAGAAACTGCTATAATTATGAATGGGTTAAGCCTTCCCCCTAATCCTCTAGTGGCTGTCTCATTGACAGCCACTAGAGGCGCTTGCGTGCTTCTCACTGTGAAAATCACAGTGAGAGCACGCCAGCGTCCATATGAAAGCATTGTAAATGCTTTCCTATGAGACCGGCTGAATGCGCGCGCAGCTCTTGCCGCGCGTTCTCATTCAGCCGGCGGGGCGTAACGGAGGCGGAGAGGAAGAGGAGAGCTCTCCGCCCAGCGCTGGAAAAAGGTAAGTTTAAACCCCTTTCCAGAGCCGGGCGGGAGGGGGTCCCTGAGTGTGGGGGCACCCTCAGGGCACTATAGTGCCAGGAAAACGAGTATGTTTTCCTGGCACTATAGTGGTCCTTTAAGGTATTTAGAACAAGTGTATATGTTGAACAAGGTGAGAGCTGAATGCTATCTCAAGATCTTTTGTAGCTTTACAGATATTCAGCAGTTAGTAATATGGGGCTTTACATGCTTGAAATATCTCTACATTGTAGATTCAAAAATATTGTGATAAAATACATTTTTCCAAGGGTGCAGATCTGACACTTTTTCTCTAGATTTGACTTCTAATTACTCCTCACCCCTTTTTGGATTTGCCATGCGGATTCTATAAGCCCATTCATAGATATTTTAATCTGTGCAGCTGGCAAATCAATCTTATATTTTCTCCTAGGACCTCTTCACATCTGCCCAGAAGCCAAGTACCAATGAAAGGTATATGTATTCAAGTTTACAGAAGCAGACCCCATATGGCAAACCAATGCACTTCTTGTTATGTTGGATAAAATCAAAGATTTACTCAAGCTTCAAATGTCACATGTAATAAGAAGATGCTATCTACAAATATGAGCAATATTAAAACTTGGATTTCATAAAAGGTCTAACAGGATAACATATTTCTATTAAGCAGCTTGTTTATTAGTTACATTCTTGGGGTAGATAGTGGCTTACGATTCGTGCCAATGTATACATTTCAGGTGTGACATTGTTCATACAGATATGAATCTTTTTGAGAATTAATTCATTATAACTCAAGAAAATAAATCATTTTGCAGTGCATTAACAAGACAGAATGATCATATCTCACTTTAATTTGACTGACTGGCTGCCAAGATAGAGCTGGACACATAGCTGATTACATTAAATCTTAAATGAAGGCTTGCCCTATCTCTGGACAGAGTCTAATTTACTTTTCATCGATTTCTTTGGTATGTGTCCTGAAATAAAAGAAACATTTCAAATTTGGAACAGTACAGACATTGGT